TGAAATACCTTACACTACCGTATCAGTCTCTTACTGTTTCTGGCAGTTCTATTTAGTTTCTTCCTCATGTTCTGCACTGGATTCCAGAATTTACCTTCACAGTTCCCTCTTGAGTCACAGATTCCTAGGTGGGTTTATGATGGCATCTCAGCAACTCATAGCTTTCCCATCCATGCAACCAGTGGCCTTTTATGTGTATAGAGCATACCCTAAGTATGAACTGAAGTATGGAGTGTACCCTAATTTCCATGTCTGTTCTATCGGAGATATTCAGCATTTCACAGGATCAGAGCTATGCAACTAACTTTGCAGGATGGTACGGGGATGTCTGAGGTCCCTGTGAACCATATGACTGTTTCACTTACAGAATCATTAAATATTGCCACTTGGTAAAGGCAGGTCAGGAAAGTTTGGGAGACTGGAGAAAGAAGGGACCAAAGTCAAGCTGACAGTACAGACAAGAAAAAGTGAAACTGTGGCTCTGGATGAGACCACAGCAGCGCTGCCGTCAAGATTGGGAACTGCTGGATACTCAGTCTGTTATGGGAAGGAAAGCCCTGTTGGTTTAGGCATGGGCTGCTGGGAAGCTCCATACAGTCCCAGCTTGCAGACCTGTCCTCTGCTGGAACGCAGTGCAGCTGCAGTTCTCTCTCTGGTGTGGAGAGCAGAATCTGCTTCCTAGTGGTGACCTCTTTTTGTACTGTCAGCTTGCAGGCCCCCAGATCTTGGACTCTTACCTGTTCAACAACTACTGCTTCGTATTGGAAATTGTAGCACGGCTGCAGTTCCTCCTCTTACACATAGTGTATAAAAGCAGCAGTGTGATCTAAATGCATTTTTATAGCTTTTAATAACTAGGATTGGTACAATGTCGCAAATATTTTAAGACCCAGACAGATCTGCAGCTCAAATACTATTGGAATATTTGCATTTACAGAACCTACTTTAAAAGACAGGTTTTGATAGTTTTGTTTACATCTCACAGTTCTTCAGAGCGTGTGCTATCTTGTATCAGGTTCTCCTGCATTCAGTAGGTCAAATTGAGAGATCATGAGGTGATGGAAGTCCTCTCCCACCTGCCAACTGTGTTTCGAGTTTGTGTTCCTGCGCATTTGTTTGGAAATTGAATTAGAAATGACTTCTACCTGTCATTCAATCTAAAAAACTTTCTTCCCTGATATTGGCATGGGCAGTACCAAAACAGCACTTGAAAGATCTACGGTCTGGTACAGATTCATTTACCCATGAACCCTGACACACAAATATGCAAAAGAAAAACCTTCCAGTTTCCAAACCTCCACTTGGGTGACCCCACACTCTCTGTACCTGAGCATTATTTTTGACCTTTGCTATTTTGTACTTGGACAAAAAATAAAATCAATACTTTTTTCAGTGAAGTCATCTCAACATCTTGTTTTGTGGAAAAGATTATTATGGCACATGACTTTGTTTTCCCCGAAAATGCTAGCTAAAGGTCTCTTTTCAATGCGTTTAGGCACCTAAAGATGTAGTTGTCTGCATCTGAAAATCCCAGTGGGTATTTTAGGGACTTAGAAGTGTAGCTTCCATTGAATTAAATCCAAATTAGGCCTGGAATTAATATTCTTGAAAAGTCCAATACATTCACTCTTAAACAGTTTTATGAAGCGGCTTTAATCATCTGGCTGTTTCATTTATTTTAAAACTTATTGGCTCAACCTAATATGGCAGTCTCTATCTCTCTAGGAGGCTTTAGGAAAAAAAGTCACAGGTAGAATTGTTTCAGAATTACTAAACAGAAGCGGAGAACCTGTTGGGTCTATTGAGACAAAAGCAGTGCTCTACATTTGATACACTGGCTTAAAACTAGAAGTAAAGGTGATTCATCAGACAGCAAACACATTTTTTTCAAAACAGTACTGGATTAGGAGATCCCACCCACCTTTACACAGCTGAAAAATGGTGTGAGGGACTCAAATTCAAACTCCTCTTTTATCAAAACAAACTGGATTTTAACAAAAAGGAAATGTGTCCTCTCACTAGCAGCATCTGCGCATGTTTCTGCTCCAAGTTATTCTGAGTTAGGCTGAGTTTCTTCAGTAATACCGTCTTTATTAATTGAACTTCTCTTTTCTCAGGTTTCCAGTGCTAAGGTTACCAAGGTGCAGCATTCATTTTGGTACATTAGTCCAAATTACCAAATACAGCCTCAATTGAAAATCTCACTGGACAGATTGGTTAAGCTCTAGAGCCACGACAGAAAAATTACCTGCATTCTCACAAGCTGGGCTGGAAATAGTGGCAATCACATGTCTGGAGCATAATTTGGTTAGAGGACTACAATTAATTATATAAGAGGCTTGGAAGAAGATTAATCAACAACTTCAATGTTCTTACTGCAATCTTTCCCAGAAATTCATATGAAGCAATTATAGTCTATTGCAATAGCAGTATAGGCAGATCCTTTCCTGTGAAGAAAGAATATTTTCATTTATTCCCTTGCAATACACTCAGTGACAGGAAAAGCAGATACGAGCCTCATAAAACTAAATAAAAAGAATAATGCTATTGACAACAATTATAAAATAAATTGTAATGATTAATAAGAAAAAGTAGTAGATCTTCACTATAAAGAAGTAGTCATCAAACTAGTCTGCAAGAGGAGGATATCTGGATTTTATATAAATTTAAATTAGCATCTGGATCCAGAAACATCCTGAGGAGACAAATACGTTGCCTTTAGCAGCATAGATTAGACACCTGGTCCCTGAATTTAACTTCAGATAATTATTAAAAAACTGGGACTGAATTGTGTCCTTAACCTCAGTTTTAAAATTCTGAATATCCAGCAACTGTCTGTCACATTTTACCTTTCAGCTTTCCTTTATCATCTGCAGAGTGGAATCTTTAAATGTGCTTCTGTACCAGCATAATAGGAGAACATGGTTAGAAATTTGTTGTCTATAGATGGCTAATTTGGTGGGGGTTTTTTTGCAAATACATGATTTTAAATTAATAGCAATGATTTCATGCATGTCTCTGTCATACTATCTTCTACAACATGGAAAGTTAATGTCAAAGGCTATGGGACATCATTCATCATCTTGTACCATGGAAAAGAAAGCACTGATATGGATCATCTCCCCAAACTAGTCTTAGTAATTTTGACACATTTTTTATCAGATCTGTGAAGATGTAATACAGATAAGAAGATTGCTATTTACACCTGTGTTTATTGTTGAC